AAAATTTAAAATAATGTAAGCCGGTAGTAACGAAAACAAGATTAAGCGGGGGAAAGAGAAAACATATACTAAATGTACACGGGACTAGAAACACATACAAAATTAAGGGGGGCTAGTACATAAAATAATTAAAAAGGGAAAATAACATATACAATGGTAGGGGGACATTAAACATATACAATAATGTACACGGGACTAGTAACAGATGCAATAATGTTAGTGGGGATAGTAACATGTACAATAATGTACACGGGACAAGTTACATGTACAATAATGTAAGCAGGAATAATAACATATACAATGATGTACGCGTTGACAGTAACATAATACAAAATGTACACGGGACTTGTACCACATAAATAATGTAAGCGGAGAAAGTAACATATACAATAATGTACACGGGACTTGTAACAAATACAATAATGTAAGCCGGTATAGTAACATACTATTATACAATAATGTAAGCGGGGATAGTAATATACACAATAATGTAAATATGGATAGTAACATAATTATACAATAATGTACACGGGACTAGTAACATGTTCAATAATGTAAAAGGGATTGGAACACATACAAAAATGTACACGGGACTAGTAACACATTCATGAGGTTATGTTTTTGCTATCATTTTCTCTATGTCTAAGTATTGCTATCACGAAATTTAATATATTTTCTAATGCTGGGTCTATGTATCGTTAATCACAATTTTATAATATATTTTCTAATACTGTGTCTAAGAATCATGTCAATCTTTTCTATTACTTTTATGATAATGTATTTTTTTCGTCTTTGCATACAGATATCACTATTACGGTATTGGCTCAAGGGAGACGTCAATTATACTATCACTCTGTTTTTCCGGAAAAAAGGATTAAAAAGCAAGTACGATTACTTTTTGAAACAAAAATGCTAGATTTACAATGTGTAAAACATATTGTATTTCATTTGATGTTACGAGTTTTCACATGAATGGAATGCATGGGGATGGAATACAACAATTTGTAAGTATTGTTCTGAAAGATTTAGAGAATTAGATCGTTACCATATGAGCTCTTTGTATAAGTAACCATCTTTATCTCACTTGCTTACTTTACATGCTATTTGAAAATTTGTTTTCCAAATTATTTTCGGGTAGCAGTAAAGATATTCTTCATTGTCAGTGTATCCAGTTTTCTTTGTTTGAATTTTTAAAATGACGATAATAAAAATCCACTAGTATTCCCGAATTTTAATTTCTATATGAATAACAAAAACCTTTTAGTCGCCTTGAATTCTGTGAAGTTAGTTACCTTGAAGTCCGTGTATGTAACAAGATTCTTTAAATGAGACAGTAAAACCCATCAGTGTCCCCGGCTTATTTTATTGAAAGTGAATTCACAAGTGTAAGAAATAAATGTCTCTAATTCCTTAAATGTAACAGCATAAACCACTAATGTACCCAAATTATTTATGTGATGAAATGGAATCCACTAGTTTTTTCAGGATTGTACTTTAGGTTATAGTGGAACTTATTAGAGCTCTATAAAATTATGTGAAATTGTTCCAAGATTCTTTGTGTGTGAATGTGAAACCCCACTATTGTTCCACGATTCTTTGCGTGTGAAAGTGAAAGCCCACCATTGTTCCAAGAATCTTTATGTGTGCAAGTAGTGTTTTTGTAGATTCATTGTCATATTTTCACAACTTGTATTCCTATCTTAAAGCGATTTGAAGAGTTATATATCGTTATGTCGTCATACAAAACCCACTTGATCATATCATCTGTCTCGTAAGATAGCCAAGACCGTCAACTTCATTGCCACCACTCCGCAAAATCTTCACTCCCCAATAATTGCTTACTTCACACCACTAGGCAACCAACTTTGACACATTGACAGTTCCATTTTGTTTGAAAAATCGGATGAATAAAAAACATTTTTTTTAAATTTTGCTCTGAAAACTATCTAGAATGATAGAGAATGGTCTTAGAAAATAAATCTGAACACCAATATCTTTTATTCAGTCATTAACGCTGTACAGACGTTTTAATGCAAAGGCCGTTAAAAGAATGTTATTTCAATGATGCAAAACAGTTGAATATCACTTTTATTTCACTATAATTACTCTGTATTTCGCTTGAGAAAACATAAAATGAAATTAAATAAACATAAAAAAACTTCATCAACGTTTTCAAAATTTGTTATTCTCATAATGATTGTGCAAACGGCTCTGTAGACAATTTTCTGTTGCTTTTTTCAACCGTTACCTTTTTACAAAATGTTGCTATTAAAAACTGTGAGGCGAAAACAAATTTCACCACCAAAAATCTTGATTTTGAGTAATGTTTGCCACGGCCTTCGTGATTATATTACTGCTCATCAGTAGTTGCATAGAGTTCTATATGTTTGATATATAACACAGATCCTAACTTCAACAATTTTATGATTTAACTTATCAGTTTATTTGTTTATTTCAGATTTTCTGGAATCAAGTTAAAGACAGAGGTATCAGGTTTTTGACATTTTGTAAGCTTTAATAGAGACATCATATCTCTCATCGACTTAAACTATACTGCTTTTCAAAATAATTTACATCAAGGTCTATTTAATATCGTATCATAGCAAATTTATATTGATTATATGAACACAACATACACATAGACACACATTTTGAAATTTAATAGAGTGGACAAAACACCACACATGAATTTTATAGAGTGGATAAAACCCCGCACCCTTTATCTTACAGAGTGGACATAACCCCACACTATTTATAATTTGAAAACATGTTATTTTATTTTTTTGTTATTACATATGCATGTCAAATAAAATACACCATCTATATATTATAGTGCATAAAGAATTTTCAAGAAAAACCGTTATGTTGAAAACTGACAGCATTTCATAAGTTAACATTGTGTATGCATATTGTTATAATTGTGTATAATGTAATTGTATGTTTAATGTATGACATTGTCTATGTTTTTCGTGTATATAATCAGTCGACATGTGCTATTATATTATGTTCTCATGTAAATGTGTTAATTAATTGTTATATCAGTCACTGAAAAGTGGAATAAAAGAGTATATATATATATAAATAAGCGTGTATATAAGCTCTGATGTTCAGCTATACATCTTTTAATTTATTTCTTTAAAATTGGAGAATACACAATATGCAAAAAGTTGTATCAAACTCCCTAAATAATAGAACAAAACAGATTGTCTAACTTAAATTAAGTATTTCAGATAGTTCATTCAATCATGATAATTAATAGTAGCATTTCAATATGCAATACAATATGAGTGAATAATAACAGACTATACATGTACACACATTATAAACTGTTAAATCAACATCAAAGGGTAATAATTCATTTGACTCAAATTTTATTAGCTGTGTGACAATCATTTATGGCCTTTAATTGAGTTATAATTATCCATTATAACAGCTTCTTCAATTTCATTAGTTATTTTGAGTTATTTTATCGTCAATTAAGTCTACACAAATTAGTTATAAAAGTGTGGGGTTATATTCACTCTATAAAATTCGTGTGTGGTGTTTTGTCCACTCTATAGAATTTTGATGTGTGGGGTTTTGTCCTAATTATAAACTTCCACCGGAAAATGAATTTTCTTTGCACTTTTTTATACCGTTAAAAAGTTGTAAGATAAAGGAAAACTTTTTAGTGAATCATGTTTTGCATTTGTGTTACCTTTTATTTTCAAATTTATTGTACTCATGTACAGTTTATTTGTTATACAGTATGATTGACAAATATCGTCAATAATGTTTTGATTAACCTTTATCTCGAGACGGTCTCGTAAAATAAACACGTCATTACGATAACTCTATTATGACCGCGCATATCTACGATGTTAACGAAAACTATTGATAAATTAAAAGATCAGAAACATTTTATAAAATATTTTAAATCTGAATGTAAACAACGGGCTCATACATGCTATTACTTTTTTAAAGTGTACAATTTTTTAATTCATTTGAAAACATCAATAGAACATAAGTAAGTACAAATACTTAAACTGTAGATTGTTCTTTGATACTTTTTACATATTTAAAATGTTTTGCTATTGACTAAATTACAAATTAAAGACATTAAACAAAAAAAAGTTTACACTCTTAATTATAAATGATAACACATTTATTACAATTTTTGGGATTTGGCTGTGCTATTTGCCACGAAACCATGTTTTCAATTATCACCATTGTTTGGTTGTCATTGGAATATGAATACAAGGAAATTACAATATATCTATTATTGAAACAATAACAATGACCTTATGGAGCTCAAAAGCAATCCAAATTTAGTCTTTCAAATACAATTTACTGTACAAATAATATACATGTTTATTTAAAATCTCATTCCTAAATCTAGTTATAGACCGGAAACCAATTTTCTATTTTAAGTAACAGTGTCCTTCTCTTGACCCTAAGGTACCAAAAAGCAATCCCAAGCAAAATATTTACATAAGCGTTATATACACAAAGTTTCATTGAAATATCTCATTCCAAACTCTAATTATTGGCCAGACACCTATTTTTATTTTCAGTAATAGTGACCTTGACCTTAGGGGATCCAAAAGCAATCAAGCGAGTTATATATTACATAAGCTTACTAAATACAAAGTTTCATTGAATTATCTCATTCCAAACTCATGTTATTTACCGGAAACCGATTTTCTATTTTTAGTAACAGTGACCTTGACCCAGGAGCCAAAAACAATCGTAAGCAAGTTCTGTACATAACCTTGCTATACACTAACTTTCATTGAAATATCTCATTCATAACTCTAATTATTGACCGGAAACCAATTTTGTATTTTAAGTAATAATGACCTTCACCTTGATTCCAGGATGCCCAAAAGCAATACAAAGCAAGGTATTTATGTACATAAGCATGGAATACACCCTAGTTTAATTGAAATATCTCATTCTTTACTATAGTTATTGACTTGAAACAGATTTTCTATTTTTAGTTACAGAGACATTGACATTGACTCTTTGAGACCCAAAAGCAGGTAAATGAGCTGGCAGGTGTTCATCAAGCTAGATGGTTTCCGTTTAATAACTATATGAAGTTTGGTTAAAAGAAGCAGTTATGATTAAAATGATACTACACTATACTTTATATTGCACGAATGGACAAATAACAAAGGGCCATAATTACAAATCACAAAACCCCGACAACATGTGCCAGGCACTTGATGACGGAGCTTCTGTGACTGTTTGGTCAAAATCCCTGGAGAAAACATTCCATATAAGGAAATAAAACAAAGAGCAATAATAAGGTAAACATGAACAAATCACAAAACCCAAACAATATGGACTAGGGTACTTGATGACAAAGCTTCTGTGAAAGTTTGGCCTAAATCCCTTGAAATGTATCTAATGAAATGTCATGATTTACTTTATTATTACATTTAAATAATTTAGAAAATCGTAAGATGATCTCAAATTGTTCAACCTTTTTTCAATTTAAACCAATGTCTCTTTTTCTTAACAAATTCTTATAGATGTAATAAGCTTTATAAAAACACAACAGCTCCCTATTTACAGCGCTATTATGTAATTTAAAATTAATTATTTGATTCGTTTATATACAGATTGTGAACAATCATAACCAAACCACACGTGTGGGACATATTCGGCCGAATTAATCACAGCTGTCGTGTGTGCCATATACGTTTCTGCAATTTGGTAGCAAATGCCTGACCGTATATGTCACACATTTTCCACAGTAAAGTAGCATAATCATCGTGGTTTAACCTACCTTCACCAACTTTAATAATGCATCATCATCATTAACAACAACAACAACAGCAGCAGCATCATTATCATTATCATCATCATACATCATCATCGTGAATCAGCATATATTTGTTTAGTTCACGCCGCCATGCTTATCATTTTACTAGTTAGATGACTAATGTGTCAATTAACAATGACTGGCTTTGTCGAAAATATGTGGTAAATATTTTGAACATTAATATGTATTGATTAGAAGATAAAATATCGACTTTTCATGTCCCACTCTGAGGGCGGGGGGGTTAAACATTTTTTTGTTCGTGCGCCTGTGCCTGCATATGTGCGTCTGTCCGATTTTTTTTACATTTTAATAAAAAATTTATTCTCCATGCAAACCAGATGTATAATTTTACAGTGCAGATGCGCACAAGAGGAGAATGTATGAATGGCGTTCTGTTCACCACATTTATAACTTGCCCCTTAAACCATATGTAATGCCTAAAAACATCATGGTCTTTTTCGAAATGACGATTGAACGCAATAAAAATGTTTCAAACAAGCTGTTTGACATGTAACATTCTAACGTTTGCCATTAAAGCTCTAGCGAAATGTGATTTTTCCTGATGAATCACAAAGTGTGGATGACACAATGCTATAGGGTCAGTGATGGCCTAATGGCTATGATGTTTGCATGTCAACCCCAGGGTTGTGAGTTCGAGCCCAAGTCTGGTCACGACTATGTTTTCATTTGACATCCGTACTGGTTAGTTCCTGGAAGCGGATTCTAAAGTGATTAATATAAGTTGAAAGAACGTGTTTCGCTATCGAGCATAAATAAATATGTTTAAACTAATAGTTTGTAATTGTGTGGGTCCTGGAATCATTTTGTTCAAACAGCAAGAAATAAACAAAACATGTTTCAGTGCAAGACGAAAATATATTATTGTTTACAGGGATATTGCAGTACAATACTCACGATATATGTTTTGCGCTTATTTGGTAAAAAAGAAAAAAATCGCTGAAATATTTTTCTATTATACGCTTTAAAAACATTAGGTGATTTATTTTCTATTACCGGTATATTTTCTTAACAAATCGGCGAAATATTTCTTTATTATAAACTTTTAAAAAATTCTGTGAAAAATTTGTTTGTTTTTGTTTTGTTTTTTATAAATTTCTAAAAAATGTCGGTGGTATATTTGTTTATCATACACTTTTAATATCTATGTTATCACCTCCGCCACAATATCATCAATACCATCATCATCAGCAGCAGCATCCGCATCACTGTGATCATCATGATCACCTTGATGATCATCATCAGACTTTGTCCTACCAAGTCCCAGTGCATCCTTACCACATCCTCAGTTTTTACTCCGTTCGTACAGAACTGGGAACAACGAGCAAGTCGCGAACATCAGATTCTTAGTATTGGATATGACAAAAACTTATCGTATGCACACCTGAGTATGTAACCTCTACCCCTACTACTTATAGTACTACAATGTATTTCTTGCTGTAGCTGCTACTGCAGCTTGTGATGGGGATAATGATGATGCTGTTGCTGCTGAAGATGATGATAACGATGATGATGATGATTAAAATGGCGGTTGTGGTATTTAAGCTCTCAGTTTCCCGCTTCGAACTCATTTTTGGCTATTGCCCTTTATAAAAAATAACTCCGTTTTACAGGACGGACGAGATTTTCCGCCTATCAAATCTATAGATTGCAAGGCCAGAGAGTAAACCATGTTGTGCAGTCTTTTCTAGGCAATTTGTCGGAAACATAATTCCAACAGTTCTACTTATACAGAATAACTGCGCATTTACCTCGTTAAGTGCAAGAGGCATAATCATATCGATCAGTCAAGCTCATCATTCATTTTTCTCCATGATGCATATAATGGTCTCATTGGCCTCCCGTGCATCGAAATTGTATCATCACAGAAATCGACTTGCATACATATTTAGTATCATTCAGTGAATTACTGAATTTTAACACCAGGGAATTCATTTGAACAAATTTGGTAGACATCCAATAGAAGATGTTTCATGATAAATACTGAAAGGGCTAGCTCTTTAGGGTTTTTAAAAGAAGATTTTTTAAGTTTTTACTATACAATGACCACCCGCCCCCCCCCCCCCCCTGGCGGGGCCAATTTTAACCCGAACAAATTTGGTAGACACTCATAAGAAGATATTTCATGCTTATTATCTACACTCTAGCTCTTTAGGTTTTTTGAAAGAAGATTTTTTAAGGTTTTAATTTACACATAAGAGGGAAATCAATGACCCCCGGGGCAGGGCCAATTTTAACCAAATGGCCTTTATTTGAACAACCTTGGTAGACACACCATACATCTATGGTTATTTCATATAGGAAAGAAAAAATACAATCATTCCATGATACTGAAGTTTCAGAGCGGACACGACCACCACCTTCTATATTTAATTATTTATATAACATTAAAAATGACAAAGTTTGAACCCCCGCAGTGACCTTGACCTTAGTAATAGAAACCCGAGTCTTGTTCCCGACACACCATAATCTATAGTAAAGAAAAATTACAATCCTTCCATGCATACTGAAGTTTCAGAGCGGACCCAACCACCACTTTTTATATTTATATAACATAAAAAAATGACAAGGTTTGAACCCCCACAGTGACCTTGACGTAAGTGGTAGAAACCCGAGTCTTGTTCGCGACACACCATACATCAATGGTTATTTCATATGTGAAAGAAAAATCACAATCCTTTCGTGCATACTGAAGTTTCAGAGCGGACACAAACACCACCTTCTATATTTATATAACATAAAAAATGACAATGTTTGAACCCCCACAGTGACCTTGACCTTAGTGGTAGATACCGGAGTATTGTTAGCAACACACCATACATCTATGGTTATTTCATATATGAAAGAAAAATTAAAATCCTTCCATGCATACTGAAGTTTTAAAGCGGACACAACCACCACCTTATATATTTATATAACATAAAAATGACAAAGTTTGAACCCCCAAAGTGACCTTGACCTTAGTGGTAGAAACCCGAGACTTGTTCGCGACACACCACACATCTATGGCTATTTCATATGTGAAAGTAAAATTACAATCCTTCTATGCATACTGAAGTTTCACAGCGGACACGACCACCACCTTCTATATTCATATAACATAAAACATGACAAAGTTTGAACCCCAACAGTGACCTTGACCTTAGTGGTAGAAACCAGAGTCTTGTTCGCGACACACCACACATCTATGGTTATTTCATATATGAAAGAAGAAATCAAAATCCTTTCATGCATACTGAAGTTTGAGAGCGGACACGACCACCACTGTCTATATGTATAAAGCGGGACGGACTGACGGACGGACTGACTGACGGACGGACAGACAGACAGACAGACAGACAGACAGACGGACGGTTCAATTTTAATATGCCACCCTTCGAGTTTCTTGTTAATACCTCTTGCGGTTTCAGAGTTATGTCTCAGACAAAGATCAAAGTATAAAAATAAACAAAGGACAATCATTTCAAGATTCTATTCATTTCTATCTATTATTGATACGTTTCTTGTTGATACCTCTAGAAGTTTCAGAGTAATGTCCCGGACAGAGTTCACAGTTTAAAAATGAAAAAGGGTAATTATTTCCAAATCAGGCAAGGAAGAGTTCCAGTTCTTATGCATTGCTCTTCTACTTAATGAGATCGATCTATCTATCTACAAAATTCATTGTCAGAGTTATGTACCGGGAAAGAAAAGCGGACGGACGGACGAACAAAGCGAAGACTATTTGCTCTGTTCGAAGAGCATGAAAATCGCAACAACAACTAAAAAGAAACATTGCATATAGCAATAACATTTTTGTAAGAGTTTATGTAAAAATGCTCAACACATTTACAAAATGGACCCAAGTTTTTTGTTTTACGTAATATATTTTTTCCATTTATACTTTTTTTGATTGATTGACATGCAGACTTTTCCTAAGGTCGCTTAACCTTTTAGATGAATTTGGAAACACTATGAAAGTTTCACCTATATACAGTTCATTCATTTGTAATTTTACATAGATTACAGATATTCAATGTCGGAGGGCTTTAGACCGCTCTGCAAATTCTGATCTGTAAAATATCAAAACGTGCTTATAATAATGACACACACGCACGCACGCACGCACACACAAGAGAGAGATTATCTATGATAAATTTATTTCCGAATGTTTTATATATTTTGCATACAGGGATCGAGTAGAAAATATTCACTAAGTTCAAAGACTGGCACGCTTCTACCAGACTTCCCTAACGCTAAAAACCTTATACTGCCGGCAGGGACGGACCTTGAGAAGGCAAGTCATTATTGCTATATTATTATTTATTATACCTAACATGAGTATGTTCCTTCTTTATTATTATAGGTATGGAGCGCCGGGACTGTCTTATGTGATCAATGTTTTTGCTATCTTTTGAAACGATGATATTATTTTGTCGTTTGAGCATGTTAACATGTGCAATTTACACCATGTCTTGTCAAAGGATCATGCTGACTTGTTCAAACAGCAATTATGACGATGACATGTACAGACAACATGTTAACATGTCAAAGTATCGTGATGACTTGTGCAATGACATGTTAAATTGTCAAAGTATCGTGATGGCATATGCAAAAGATACGTCAACTTGTCAAAATTTCATGATGAGATGGCCAAGCGGCATGTTAAAAATTGCCGAGTTATCGTGATGACATGTGCAAACAGCATGTTTATTTTGTCAAATTATCATGATGACATGTGCTAACAACATGTTAACTTGTAAAAGAATCATGATGACTTGTGCAAACGACATGTTCTGTTGTTTCATGCTGACATGTCTAAACGTACTGTAAACTTGTCAAAGTAGTATAATAACTTGTGCAAACACCATGCTAACATGTCAAATTATCATGATGACATGTGCAGACAGCATGTTCACTTGTCAAAGGATCGTGATGATTTGTGCAAATGACATGTTAAATTGTCGAAGTATCATGATGACTTATAAATTTGTTTGTACTAAAAATCTATTTTTTTCTCCAAACGCAATCATTATCTATACTTTAAATCAACACAAATCAACGATACAAATTTCCTAAATAATACCCCCTCTGTCATTGTTATCATACACATCTAATTTCCAACTTTTACCATTATGTTATGAGAAATTGCGGTATTATAATAATAAATAACGCACAGTACTTCGGAGCTCAAAGCATTATAGTGACCTCCCAGTCACCCCTCAACACTGAACGCAGTCCGTTGAATATTTGCAGGCTGAATGATCAGTCACTATAACACTATGAGACCCTCGGTACTACATGTATGTACTATTTCTTAAATAATCATCGATGGAGAAAATTTGACATTTGCCTGTACTTGGTATTTATTTTTCTTCAATGTATCTGAATTATCTTATTCAATAATGTTCAACATTACCATGATTTACGAAGTAAAAATATTGTATGAAAACATGTTTTGCACTGCTCTGTTTGCTATTATCTTTCTTTCTATTTTACAGATGCGAACATTTATTATGATGTATAGGACCCACTGCCAGAGAATTCTTGACACGATCATAAGCGCTAATTTTGATGAGGTAGGAATAAAGTAATAAACATAACGTGATATAATTTAAAGGCACATTATGCCTCAGAAACAAAATGCTTTACTTCTCATAAAAGGACAAACATGAATTTTATAATGATTAAATAATGGTTTTAGAGAATGTTATTATGCTTGTTACCAGAAGAAAATATATATAATTATGTGAAATAATTTGTCATAAAAGTAGCAAAATGTAAACAAAGTAGTATTTGTCTTCCATACAAAATACTAATTCACTACAACTGTACTGACTGCCAAAAAGCAACAGATAAAAAGACGGTTCAGCGAGTTACTTTTCCGACACTATAAAAGTACACCACAATTAAAAAAGCTTTTAAGACATAAAAAATGAATTTAAAGGGTTTCATCCAAGGCATAATGGGCATTTAAATGTCAAAGGGAATTTTACATAATGTAATGCAGGTGTCAAGAGGGATATAACGTGATGTAAAAGTTTTATGTGTCATGTAAGTTAAACTATAAGAATATCACGCGAGGAGGTAGAAAATAAGTGTCGTGACAGGCTTTACGTAGAATATCACATGAAGTGGTAAATGTCATGATTGGATATCACACAAAGAAGTTATATCATAACGGAATATAACGTAAAGAAGTATATGTCGTGGCTTGATATAACAGGAAGAGATAAGTATTATGACTTGATAAAATGTAACAAGAGCACCACATAGGCGTGGCAATATACGCCCGAATGCAAATTTGTTTTAAATAATAAGATTTAAAGTAATCAAAAATAATTTCTAAACAGAGAGAATACCCATTCATGAATGTGACATGAAGAGGTTAGTGTAACTAATGAATATAACATGAAGAAGTAAGTGTAATGACTGAATATTACATGAAGTGATAAGTGTAATGACTGAATATTACATAAAGAGATAAGTGTTATGACAGAATATTACATGAAGAGGTAAGTGTAGTGACTGAATATTACATGAAGAGATAAGTGTTATGACAGAATATTACATGAAGAGGTAAGTGTTATGACAGAATATTACATGAAGAGGTAAGTGTAGTGACTTAATATTACATGAAAAGATAAGTGTTATGACTGAATGTTACATGAAGAGGTAAGTGTAATGACTAAATATTACATGAAGAGATAAGTGTAATGACTGAATATTACATGAAGAGATAAGTGTTATGACAGAATATTACATGAAGTGATAAGTGAAATGACTGAATATTACATGAAGTGATAAGTGTAATGACTGAATATTACATAAAGAGATAAGTGTTATGACTGAATATTACATGAAGAGGTAAGTGTAATGACTGAATATTACATGAAGAGATAAGTGTTATGACAGAATATTACATGAAGAGATAAGTGTTATGACAGAATATTACATGAAGAGGTAAGTGTAGTGACTTAATATTACATGAAAAGATAAGTGTTATGACTGAATGTTACATGAAGAGGTAAGTGTAATGACTAAATATTACATGAAGAGATAAGTGTAATGACTGAATATTACATGAAGAGATAAGTGTTATGACAGAATATTACATGAAGTGATAAGTGAAATGACTGAATATTACATGAAGTGATAAGTGTAATGACTGAATATTACATAAAGAGATAAGTGTTATGACTGAATATTACATGAAGAGGTAAGTGTTATGACTGAATATTACATGAAGAGGTAAGTGTAGTGACTTAATATTACATAAAGAGATAAGTGTTATGACTGAATATTACATGAAAAGGTAAGTGTAGTGACTTAATATTACATGAAAAGATAAGTGTTATGACTGAATGTTACATGAAGAGGTAAGTGTAATGACTAAATATTACATGAAGAGATAAGTGTAATGACTGAATATTACATGAAGAGATAAGTGTTATGACAGAATATTACATGAAGTGATAAGTGAAATGACTGAATATTACATGAAGTGATAAGTGTAATGACTGAATATTACATAAAGAGATAAGTGTAATGACTGAATATTACATAAAGAAATAAGTGTAATGACTGAATATTACATGAAGAGATAAGTGTTATGACAGAATATTACATGAAGAGATAAGTGTTATGACAGAATATTACATGAAGAGGTAAGTGTAGTGACTTAATATTACATGAAAAGATAAGTGTTATGACTGAATGTTACATGAAGAGGTAAGTGTAATGACTAAATATTACATGAAGAGATAAGTGTAATGACTGAATATTACATGAAGAGATAAGTGTTATGACAGAATATTACATGAAGTGATAAGTGAAATGACTGAATATTACATGAAGTGATAAGTGTAATGACTGAATATTACATAAAGAGATAAGTGTTATGACTGAATATTACATAAAGAGATAAGTGTAATGACTGAATATTACATGAAGAGATAAGTGTTATGACAGAATATTACATGAAGAGATAAGTGTTATGACAGAATATTACATGAAGAGGTAAGTGTAGTGACTTAATATTACATGAAAAGATAAGTGTTATGACTGAATGTTACATGAAGAGGTAAGTGTAATGACTAAATATTACATGAAGAGATAAGTGTAATGACTGAATATTACATGAAGAGATAAGTGTTATGACAGAATATTACATGAAGAGGTAAGTGTAGTGACTTAATATTACATGAAGAGATAAGTGTTATGACTGAATGTTACATGAAGAGATAAGTGTTATGACTGAATATTACATGAAGAGGTAAGTGTTATGACAGACTATTACATGAAGAGATAAGTGTAATGACTGAATATTACATGAAGTGATAAGTGTTATGACTGAATATTACATGAAGAGATAAGTGTAATGACTGAATATTACATGAAGAGATAAGTGAAATGACTGAATATTACATGAAGAGATGAGTGAAATGACTAAATATTACATGAAGAGGTTAGTGTAATTACTGAATATTACATGAAAAGATATATGTTATGACTGAGTATTTCGTAAGAGGTAAAAGTGTTATGACTGACTTTTCCTTAAGAGGTAAGTGTTATGACTGACTATTGCGTAAGAGGTGTTATGACATGAACGTGAAGAGGTAAGCATCATGGCTGAATATAACGTAAACAGATGAATACTAGCATATCATAACAGAATATTACCTGAGGATGTTTTATGACATCAGAAACTGTTGTGCTTTGATCAGTATTTTTACCATGTTTTAGTGATTTTAAACAAAAAGCTTCATGAATTAAATCAAATTTATAAAACATACTCAACCAAAAAAGAAACCTGACATTTTTAATGTTGCAATATCTTTTTAACATGGGCATCTAATAAAACCATATTTATCTCATATCCGTAGATTTTCGATACACAATATGTGTGTAAACTCTAGCTAGCTTGATACTAACCGAAATTGGGTAATCTTCAAATAGCCGCTTTCGCACGTGACGCCCGTGCTCAATGAATGGAACGCAATAGAATGTGAACAAAAGCGCTATACATTCACCAAGTGATTACACAGTATAAATCACCATTGAAATTTGATGGTTACAAAATGCCACGTTAATAAGAGGCCGAAAGAAATCGGGCTATCGGTATGCTTCAAACTGGCGTGTCTGCCGTTGACGTAAGCAGGACGTTTAACTGCAGTCGCAACACAGTGCGTGAGCTTGTAATACGGAATCCTGTTGGGGCCATTCATAATATCAGAGTCGCGTTTGCATGGTCGACACACGACAACGCGAAATGACATAGCGATATTACGAAGTGACACCCGACAATCGCAAACGACGGCGACCAACTCAAACAACAATGTCGCGATACCCCCTTTAAAATGTCGCCTATAAAAGCACGATATCTCGCGATGTCGCTTCGCATTGTCGAGTTTCGTATCGCATTGTCGCTATGTCACTTCGCGTTGTCGCGATGTCACTTTGCGTTGTCGTGTGTCGACCCTGCAAATGCGACGGCGACATTATCAAACGGCACGCGACAATCTCAAACGATGCTAGACAAAGCGAAGCGACATTTTCCTATTGTCACACCGTATGTCGCGTGTCGCGGTTTTGTTTGAGGGTCGACGCGCGACAATTTCAAACGACATGCGACAATCTCAAACGACGCTCGACAATGCGAAGCGACATTTTAGATAATATCGTATCGCATGTCGCCCGTCTACCGGTGAAAGGTAAAAAGTAGCCTCTTCACCGCCTGTTTCCCTCGGGTTTGCCTAAAAAACGAAAGTGACTTTAAAAATATGAATTATATAGCGTTTAATAGAATTTTACAATAAAAATTGCAGTTTATAGACGTATATTATTAGAAATTTATTATATTTATTATCAAAAATAATCATAATGATGAATTAATCGCTATTTATTTGCATAATTTCTATACACAAGTTCTGAGATCTTCCTTTCGCACTATCTTCACTTATTGAAAAATACGAAAGTGACTTTTAAGATATTAAATATACCGTTTAAATTGAATTTTTTACTAAAATTGCAATTATCAGAAATTGATAATATCTATTTGCAAAAATAATCATTATGATGATTTAATCGCCATTTATTTGCATAATCTCTTTACACAAGTTCAGAGATCTTCCCTTCGCTCACATTGAAAAATACGAAAGTGAATTCAAAAATATCAAATATAGCGTTTAGTTTGAATTTATATTAATATAACAGTTTGTAGACGCAAAGTTTCAGAAATTGATAATATTTTAGATATTTTAAAATTAAACACTATAAATTAAGATTACTGAAACCACAACCTATTTTATTATATAAGACAGATTCTTTCAACTAGAATAAGTTCGCCGAACCGGTAGTTCGACGAAACCACTTTCACCCTCTTTACACAAGTTCTGAGATCTTCATTTCGCTTACATTGAAAAATACGAAAGTGACTTATAAAATATTAGATATATTGTTTAAATTGAATATTTGACTAAAATTGCAATTTGTAGACGTATATTATCAGAAATCAATAATATTTATTTTCAAATATAATCATTATGATGATTCAATCGCCGTTTATTTGCATAATTTA